ATGCACTCCGTGTCTTGAGCGTGGCATTCATATCTTTTTTTTTATTTTTATTTTTTTGATAAAAAATAAACATCAATTTTTTTTGAGAAAGATTTTTTTTGTAAATTAATATAATTATTTTTTACTTTCTTCATCTCGCAATAGATTATAATTTTTTCTCTCACCTCTTGATATCTTTTATTTATTTGTATGTTTTCTTTGATTATTTAATTAAAAAAATTTTGTCACATCTTTTTTTGTAGAACTTTTGATGTAATTTGTAAATTTATAAGTTTTATTTTTAATTCTTATACCAATTTTTAAATGAAACGATTTTTAAAAATAGAGAGTTTTTGCATCGTAATTCTAAAATAATAATCTAAATTGAGATGAAGGAATAAATAAAAATATGGAGCAGATAAAAAAAAAATTTAATAATTAAAATATGTATAAAAAATTATTTATTTGAGTAAATAGAAATATTTTCATGATAAAAATATATAAGTAAAATAATTTTTAATAATTCAAATATGGCAAAAATATGAAAAAAGTGATGAAAACAATGACTTGCCACTGCAAGGCATGCCATTCCACTCACGTGCCACTCGTTGACTGGACGGTTTTTATTGATTGAAATGCTCCACGCCAGCGTGTGACATTCCATTTTTGCCTCACCATTGTTTATGCTCTAAACACCCCAAAATATGGAGGGGTTGGATTCAAATTGGGCCATAGGTTTGTTGTTCTTGTAATAGTAACGGGTCGTAACTATCCCGGTACTGGGCTTCGATATGATTATCGATACAAATTTGTCGGGTCCGACTGCCGATACCTAGCAGCTCTCGGCTTCTCTTCCGGATTTGTTGTGTTCTCAGAACAACCGGTTCTTTACCGATCACTTTCCGGCGTGCATTCTCGCCGTGTAGCCCCTTCAACTTCCTTCATCACGGACGTCCAATTTCACGCGCTTCGATCGAATCATACCCTAAAAAACTGAAATTTGCAGGCGGAGGAATGGATTCCTCCTATTTATCGTGTTCAATCTATTCCGTATAGGTTTGAGATCCGAATACGCAGTCTCTGTTTCTCACTACAAGGATATATTCCCCCCTTTCGAATTGATTGGGACCTTTATTTACCGTCCCATCTCTCAATTTAGGGTTAGTTTGCGTTGACTTGTGGAATTATCCGGGGGAAATTGGAATTTTTCCGCAAGCTAAGCTGCATGAGTTTGGTCGTGTTGATTATTTGGCTTTTGCTTCACTCAGAATCTGTATTGCTGTTTATTTAATCGAAGGTTTTCATCTGAATCTGTCGAATCGTCATGTTCATGGTCGTGTGCTTAGTTATGAATTAATGGATACAACAATCTGTTCTCCCATGATGATTTAGTTGTTTGGGTGTTTGATATTTTTTAAGTTTTGATTAGTGAAACTGAAGTCATGTCTCGAGACAGAAGAAGTACTGGAGTTGACAGAATGTTTAGGTCTCCCCCACCTCCGCATTCCTCGCAGGCAAGGGGTCGTGGTCGAGGTTCCTCTCCTCAAAGGGAGGATAGAGGTCGGCGTTACTCGCCTAAAAGTGACCGTTTTTCACAGCCAAGGCGAATCCGAGAATTTGACTACTCACCACCAAGGTCACATGAGCGCAATCTCTTTCCCCCAAGGACTCAACCCCCACATAGGGCACTGGAGCAGCGTCACTCGCCACCTAGGGTAAGCGAAAGCTATTACCCCCAAAACAGGGCAATAGAGCATCCTTACTCACCACCCAGGGCTAGCAAACGACATTACTCGCCGAACAGGGCACTAGGGCTTCCTTACTCACCACCCAGGGCAAGCAAAGGATATTACTTGCCAAACAGGCTGCAAGAACGCCCTTACTCCCCACCAAGGGAACGAGAGCGTGATTACTCACCACGCAGGGAGCGCAGGCAACGTGGCCGTAATTGCTCACCACACAGGGAAAGAGAACACTTTTACTCACCACGCAGGGAAAGAGAGCGCTTTTACTCACCTCCTTCAAGAGTTCAAGAACAAAAGCAATCACCACCACGGGATAGAAGACACAATCGTGACTATGTGTCACCGATGAGGAGCCAGAACCGTGAATTTATTCCTATTGGGAAAGAAACAGAGGGGAGACGTGTGGAGTACTTTCATGATCTTGAACAATCAAGGAGGATGGAGAGGAAAGACATTGGACTTGACTTTGGGGAATTATCTGGTGTGGGTACTTCTACTCGTGCTGGTGGAGAGAGATGGCATGACCAACCTCAGAGCTTGAGGGTCTCTGAAGGTGATAGTCGAAAAGGAGACCGATATGGTGCCCCTTCTGACTCAAGGAGAAAATATGAATTTACAGATGCCCTTGCACATAGCGACTCAACTTCAGTGAAACATCAATTCAGTAACCTAGATGATCCCCTAAGAACTGATATTTTGAATGGCCCAATTGATCATGGGTTTAGCAGTGCCAAAGCAAGTGGTGAGCTAGGAAGTGAGGGGAGACCATATTTTGGTCCAGTTGACATTAGATCCATCTCTGTGGAAGGTGATCCGAGAAGAGTTCATTCATCATATGAACCCCGATCTTTGGATATTGGTGATCCACTGAGAAGTGGCTTTGATGATGGTGATAGGTATGCACTGGGACAACATAATCTTAGCATGAAGCTCCACGGTGGAAATCAGAACCCTTTTCAAGGCATACAACAATTAGATAAATCACCTAGAGAGAGGCAAGTGTTGAGAGATGCATATATGGAGACTGGGACCTTGGATTCTTTACGCCACTTGCATTATGGTTCTGGTTATGTGGCCTCATCATCTCATCTAAATGCATTTACCACTAGGTCTCCCGCTGAATTGAGAAATGGTGTTAATAGCTCATTCGGAGAAGATGGTCATATTCCTTTGGATGGAAGGAGGACATTCATTGGAAGGTTGGGTGAACCTAATGTTTATGACCATAATTCTGTAATTAGATCTCCTAATGGGAAAGTAGATGCCATTGGAAATTATTCAGAGTTACGCTTCACCCCGACTGATGGACATAGAAGTAGCACGCATTCAGGCAAGTTTGGCACTAACACACCCAGCAATACAAGGCCTAGTGAATTTTATAGTAGGAATGTGGGCATTGGAGAAGAATACAGTCATCAGAATGTTTCAAGTGCGTGTATATTGGATCCTGTTAGAAGTGATGACTTCTCTTACCGTGAAAACATGACAGAACACAAGCCATGGGACTGTGTCCCTTCTTCACAAAGACCATCAAAACCAGGCTACTTTGAGGCAAGTGGTGCACTTGATAAGGGAAAGCAAGATAGGGATATTTTGGAGTATGATGGTGATAATCCCATTCACAAAAGGGTGGTGTATAAGGGCTATAGAAGTGCTAGCGAGCTTCATGGCCATGGGATGGATGAACATCTCTCCACTTTTCACGAAAAATCTGGTGTACTGTACAGAGATCATAATCTTCATTTAGATGAAATCCAGGCCATACCTAAATCATCTACTGGTATGTTCAAGAGGAAACATGGTAGCGGACTGAACATTCGTAGTGGGTTTGGAACTATATTATCAAGCCATGGAAGGAGTGATGGAAGGATTGTTCACAGAATCCAGGAGCAGGATGAAAGTGAAAGTTCTGTGCCTAATTCTAAAAAAATGAAGGCTAATAATTCCAAATATGGGAAGAACATAAAGAAATATAATGTGCCCACCCGCAATAGGCTCCACAGTACAACAAGCATTGCTAGTCGGTTGAGCAAGGTGAATAAAGATGGAACAAGAAATATTAAGAGGCCTGGAATTAGGGATATTAAGAAGCGGTTGGGACCACAACCGCAAGATGTTGAAACTTGTCATTCTTCAGTGAAGAAGTACAAGTCCTCCTTGAAGAACCGTTTGGGACCTCGCTCTCAAAAGAATCGTTCTACTCTTCCATGGATGAAGAACCTCACTTTGTACAAGGAGTCAAAAGATCAGGATGACTTAACTGAAAGTCTAGCTGATCAAGGGGATGATCCTTTAGAAAGTAGTGTTACTCCGCTGAAGAATGAACCACCGGAGGATTCTGAAGATTTTAAGCAGTTGGTCCATAATGCTTTTTTCAAGTTTGTCAAACACGTGAATGAGACGCCAGCTAGAAGAAGAAAATATATGAAGCAGGGAATACCTAGTTGTTTAAAGTGCATTATATGCGGCAGGTCCGTCTCTTACATGATGAAGTGTTTTTATAAATGGAGCAATACTCTCTATTTTATTCAACTTATTGTTCATAAACTCGGTGAACTGATCGAGCAAGGCTTCCATAATGTGTCATAAATTTCCCTGCCATTATCATCCGGTTAGATTATCTATCAAACTATGTGGCTACTGATTGCATCCCATGGATAGTTGCTGCTCTATTCTGGTGTGGTTTTAGGAGATTGGTAGGTCTGTGGAAGTTGTTTATTGGTGACAGAGAGAATTGAAGATCAAATTCTGATAGTTGCAATTGTTTTCCTGTGTACATGGAGAAGTATGCATGATACTAAAAAGAAATCTGAACTCTGATTAATGACTTAAATCATCCTAATGACTTAGAGAATGTACCAATCTGCCTTGATCTCTATGGTAGTTTCAAAGACTAGTAACTGCTATGGTGAAAGATAAGTTGCCCATCTTTGGATTAAATCTGTATCACTTGCTTGAACATGAATGCCTGGAGAAAGGTCGATGAGGACAACTGCTAGGAAGTCGAAATTTAGTGTTTTCATGATATTTGACCTGGTGTCAAACTCTGGTTTGTCAAATATATGTACTCCCTCTGTCCAAGTTGGTTCTTCCCGTACAATATTCACACGGTCAAACTTTATTCACTTTGTTTGGTTATTTTCACTACTCATTTCTTAATATTATAGCCATCTCACTCTTGTTTTATAGAACTTTTTATCTAGTTTTTAATATATTTTATTTTTGAACTTTACACTTACAATCAAATAAATTGAATTGAAAATAAAGTCGGTCAAGCCTTGTAATGCGTAATGGGAGCAACCAACTTGGACGGTGGGAGTACTTTGTGGAAATTTTAATGCTAGGTAGTTGTAACAGCAAAGTGACACTAGTTGTAATGAAAACGGGAAAGAAAAAGCTAAAATATTATGGGATTGGCTCCTCATGTTAGAGCATATAGCATATGGTCGTGCTATACCATTTTCTTTTGATGAGACTGATATTTCTGACTAGTTGAATGGTTTTGGGGATTTCATATTTTGACTATGTTTATTGAACCAATGTGATTCTCCTTTTTCCAATCAACAACACTAACGTTTTTCAGTATGTTAAGACTTCCTTTTTCCATGTTGCCTTTGGGTTAAAACTTACTGGGTAAGTATTTTTTCCTCTGCTTTTCCAGAGATTCCGAAGAATTTGAAGATGTGGAAAGTTTGGTGAAGCATGCACTGGCATCGACAAAGGTTGGTGTGCGATCACAGCATTTGGGTTTTCACAAAGCATTATGTGTGTTGATGGGATGGAGAAGTGCAGAGAATCCCACCACTACATGGGTTTGCGAGGCACTTCCCAAGGATGAGAGCTTGGCTCTTAAGGGCGACCTTATCATTTGGCCTCCTGTTGTCGTAATTCATAATATTAGCCTTGCGACGAACAGCAATCCAGATGAACATGTTGCTGTGTCTGTGGAAGAGCTGGAAGCTAAGCTTAAAGGTATTTTTTCTCTCACAAGTTCTTACCCTCACATATAATTAGAAATTCGTTTTCAAAAGTTTTTCTCCAAAACAGTTTTATATGACTAGATAAAGTTTTTTTGTGTATTTTTTTATCAAAACAGAGTAATAAACACGTCAAATAGGATAAGCTTAACCTACGAATAAATATTACCGTGCTCATCCCATAAAATGAGTCATGCTCAATAGTACTACTTTTTAATTTTAGTTGCAAGTTTAGGAAATAATCAATTAAAGGTGACTTGTTAAATTTATTTGTTGGTGTACCTAAATATAATCCCATAAAAAGAGTCATGCACAATAGGATGAATTTTTAAATTTTAATATTATTTACAACTTTAGGAAATAATCAATTATATAGGTATCTTGTTAAAAAATTTTGTTGGTATAAGTAACTTTAATATGCTCAACTTGGTTGGGACAGCTTTATAAGAAATAAAATTATTATGAAAATTAACTAAATTTAACTCTAATTAGTCCATTTTTTTGTGACAACAATTTTTGCAAGAAAGGCTTTTTGTGGGGGATGGATTATGACTTATAAAAGCTGCCCCTTGTCAAGAATCAAGACTAGAAGGTTTGAACTTGATCAAGCATGACTCTTTTCTTCTGTCCACAGTTTTTAAAAGTTGAGCAGTGATTTACCTATCACAAAACCTGACATTTTTTAGAGAGAAAGAAGTGTCGATTGAAGATGTGATTGTGTTTTTTCTCCTATTTAGGACGGTATTTTTAGGTCTAAAATATAATTTCTCCCCCAACTTTTCACAAAGTGCTTGTGCTCGGACAGAGGCGGCAAGAAGTGCACGACTCCAAGCTGCTAAAGAAAAATGCCAAACACCTCTGCCTCAGGCGTGTTTCTTAAAACTAGGCCCCAACACTGTTGTTATAAAACTATAAATGCTTCAAATAGACATAAGACAGACCTGGGGAAGAGATTCTCTTTGTGTGCGTGAGAGATAAGATAAACCAAGACAGTTTGTTTTGAAGTGGTTATCTCAGTGTAGATAAGTGAACTACTTTGTGATGCTTGATGAAAGTGTTTAAATGCCTCAGTTTGTTTGAACATGTTTGAATTGTCCCCAGAATGATCAGGTTTGCGATGTCAAGTGCTCAGCATATGCTTTTTACCCATGTGTGTTTTTCTTCCTGTGTCATTTGGCTGTTGTATTTCAGACATGGGGTTTGGAGGCCACAATGTGTGTCGTGGGAAACCAGTGAACCAGAGTGTTCTGGTGGTTAAGTTTGCCGCAACCCTTTCTGGTCTAGAGGAGGCGGAGAGGCTCAGCAAGGTCTACGCAGAGACAAAACACGGGAGGGCTGAGTTCCAGCAAATCAGTTCCGGCGACAGCAGCACTGGGAGCTGGGCCCACGCCCCCTCGGCAGACAAGATGGAAGATGTTCTATTTGGCCACCTGGGAATCGTGGAGGACGTGGATAAACTGGATTTTGAGACCAAGAAACGGAGCAAGATAAAGAGCAAGAGGGAGATTCAGAATTCTGCCGCGGCCCCTATGAAGAGGAGGAGAGGGTAAACCAATGAAGCGGTCGTCATGGTTTTGGCTTTTGAATCTTTGTGTTATGATATTAGTAGTTGGAACGTTTTTTTTTGTTTTTTTTTCTGTTTTGCTACTCGGAGACGTTATTGGTAAATCCGATATAAGGGTTAAGAAAGAACGTTTGGATGGCGCGGTTCAGGAGTTTCCTCACTCGTATAAACACAGTCATTCTTTACTAATAAGATGGCCAATTGTATGTTTGTAATTATTTTTGTTTTGCTTGGAGAGCACAGGCCAAGTATTATTGCATAAAATATCAACCAAAGATTTCCGATATGGCAAGGCTTTTAAAGCCAATCTGATTTGCCCATAGAATGAGCAAACATAAAAACGTCTTCTAACAGAGGCAAAAGAAATAATAGAGCCCCTCGCGGGGTGGTTCAGCGGCAAGGGAGAGGAAGGGAGAGGAAGGGACAGGAAGAGGCTTAAAACTTCAAATAGTTACACATACCCCATATCTCATTTATCAAATAATTTTTCTTAAATAAGTATTACAATGGGCCTGTTTGGGAATATCGTTAGAGAGGGGGAACTTGGTCCCGGAATAACCGGATCGGGATCGTTTTCCTGGAATAACCGGATCGGGATTGTTTTTGATAAAATTCTAACGGTGCAGATTATTTTGAAAATGATAATGCTAAACGCTGCCCGTAGATAGCCTTTTCAAAACGCTAACACTAATCGCTAACGCTGTTCCCAAACAGGCCCAATATAAACACTTGACATAAACATCTTATCAAACAACCTATTTTAAAAACTAACATGAAAATAGGGATGAACACAATTGCGACTTTAAATAGAAAGTGGAAACAAATGTCTCAAAATTGCAACGAAGAAGGGGGCTGATAGGGTGTTTGGTAGTGATTCATTTGTGGATAAAGTGCTATTTACAAAAGTTGAAAGCAAAAACACCTTATAACTGGTTCTCCGAAACGGTATTCTATGTATAAAATTGTGGTGGAGAAAAACAGAAGCTGACATACCAAACAAAGTAAAATCGCATCCACTCAAAGTAGAAACTAAATTCTTAAAAATAGTGTACTGCCAAACACCCTCTGAACAACTGCAACTTGTGCAATGGGGGGGGGGGGGTTGATACTTGATTTTTGGGAACGAACAAACGACTCCTATTTGATTTTATTAATTTTTCGCATCGTCCCCTTTTCTAGATTCTTTCTATGTATTGGTTGAGCAATAACTTTTTAGATGTTTAGAATTTTAGAAGGAGCCACCACATTCCACTCTTTTCCCATGAAAATGCTATGGGTAACTCAAAAATGTACCCCAAGTGTACACCACACTCTCTCCACCATACAATTTTGGGGGTGCACAAGAAGATTAAAGAATGGATAAGGAATGTGTGGTTAAGAGAGTGATGATATACAAATAGGGTATACTTTTAGTGTACTCTTAGCTTAAGTTGCACCGATATGCGGACACGGTATATCCGGAGACGGGATTGGAAGCATGAAATGCCATTTTTTATAATTTATAAAGGATTTGGGTTTGGGGATATTTCGGGGACGGGAAACGGCACCTATTTGAAGAATCTGTGTAACATATCCCCTAGCATTACTCTTTTCACATTTCATTTATTTCTTATAAAGTATGAAAATGTGTTCATTGTATTTCTTTAACAAAATGAAACTTATCAAAATTGGAACCTACTCTACAATTTTTAGAACTAAGCGTTTCAAAATCAACTTATCTAGAGACTAAGAACCTGCAATTTTAGAATCGAGATTGAGACATGGTCCAAATCGACCATGTCCATCTCTATATGTAAGGAGTCATTTGATATTTGTAGGAGATATGGATTTTGATTTTTTATATAAAACCCTTTTGTAAGTGCTTGGTGAAGACGATGTGAGATTCTGAAATGTCGATATCATGACTATCCTAAATGAGTGTATTTTGATATCTTTCGAATTTATGAGATATAAATCTAGAGCCGCAACAATCCACCCATGCCGACCATAAACTATCTTTGTCCTCGTACAATTGCTGGCCTTCGATAATTGCTGACCCCTTCTTGTCATCGACCAGACGACCACCCAACGTTGTTGGTCATTTACCGCCAACCATTCATAGTGGCCTGCCAACTGACACCAACCACTCATCATTGCCGGCCACCCATAGCTACCTGTCACCGGTCATCAACATTTTCCATCGCAAGTCGTCCACTAATATTAAATAACAACCATCATTTAAATCTCTCCAACCATTTTCATTTGGGAAATGCTAGGAGTACACCAAAGGTGTATCCTAAATTTACACCACTTGTCTTTACACCATTCATTTTATTTTGTTTTTATTTTTTATTTTTTAAATTTTACTTGTTTTTTTTTTGTGGTTATGGAGGGGTGGAGATATTTGGAGTACACCTAGCATTTTGCTTTTCATTTTAAACATTACTAGTAGAACTAATATGGAGTATCATAAATACTCCTAAAGTCATTGTGTTCTAAACAAGGAAGATGTACCTAGGCCAAAAGCAGTCCTCTTTCAACTTCAAGGGCTGATAAACGCAGTCCGAACAAGACGGCTCAAAATTGAAGGCTTGGGCGCTTGTTTTCAATTGGGACGAAGGCAACGTCAAAAACTCTCCCAATCTCCCTCCATTCCGTCCCTTCCCTCAAATGCGATCCAAGGACAGAATCTCTTACTTCTACGATGGTGAATTCTCTTGCTTTTCTATATTCGCGCCTTCAATTTCTGGACCCTTTTTGTTTCTGACTTCCAGTCCTGGAAACCCTTGTTCAAAGGAACAGGCTTTTGTAGCATAACTGTCTACTTGTCCGCGTTTGTTCTAACTCTGGATTTTGTAAGCTGCAGGGGACGTTGGGAATGTCTACTTTGGGCCTAACCATCCGATGAAGCCACACAGGCTTTGTATGACCCATCATCTGGTTCTAGCTTACGGTCTTCACAATAAGATGGAAATTTATGTTCGTATCTTATTTTCTCTGTTTGCAAATTTTGTTTTGATGTATCTTATGCAATAATGTTGGTTTAACTAGCTATATTTTGGTCCATTTGTTCATTGTATAATATTTATTGTAATGCTTGGCTGGAATAGAGGCCTCACAAGGCGTATCCGATGGAGCTGGCTCAATTTCATACACCTGAATACATTGAGTTTCTGCACAGGATAAAGCCGGACACCCAGAACTTGTTTGAGACTGAACTGAAAAGATGTAATTTTTCTTTCTTGCCGTCACTTTTTTTATTATTGTTGTTTGCTCCTAAACATATGGTATTGCTTTCTGCATTTGGGTTGAACACACTTTCCCAATGACTAGCTCAAGATCTTATCACTTAAGTGTGTAGTGTTGTGCATGAGAGAGGTGTAGGCGAGGGTGTCTTAGGGTCAGTATGGATGGAAGAGGGGTTTGGACTTTGGTAGGCTTTGGGGGAAAATATTCGGAGTGCTTACTCTTGATATATACAATGTTTCTAAAAAAGAATTAAACAATATTAAAGTGTCATATAATCACCCTTATATAGTCTCAAACCTCTTCCCTCCATGAGTCTCCAAAAGTGACCATGGAAATTGCCCTTACTGTCTTGATTTGCTAAGCAGAGATGTATTGGTCATTAGTTGTGCAACAACAATCAGTTTTCCTACAATTCCAGTTAGATATCTACTATAGTGTTTGCACTTCCAGTGACATGATGTGTTCTAAATAAATGTTATTTTCTTTTGTACCAGATAATCTAGGAGAGGACTGTCCTGTATTTGATAACCTGTTTGAGTTTTGTCAAATTTATGCGGGTGGAACAATAGGTAAGTTCATCCCTAAATTGTTTATTCCAAACCAAGCCCCTGCGCTGTTGCTGAATCATGATCAGTACTAATTGGCAGATGCGGCACGCAGATTAAACAATCAACTATGTGATATAGCTATAAATTGGTCCGGTGGTTTGCACCATGCCAAGAAGTGCGAGGCTTCAGGATTTTGTTATATTAATGATCTAGTCCTGGGAATTTTGGAGCTTCTCAAGTATCACTCCCGAGTTTTGTATATTGATATTGATGTACATCATGGAGATGGTGTAGAAGAGGCTTTTTATTTTACAGATAGGTAGCTTAACTCTCTTCACCTATCTCTTAGTTTTTCTTATAGACTGGTATGCATTTGTAGTTTCAGACAGTCACTAACTGTTTTAGTTGTTAACTTGTTATGTCAAATTCAAAATGGCCATAAAGAAAGTGAATAGAGACCTCCAGCCCAAGGACAACCAAAGTAAACCAACAGAGTAGACACAAAAGCACGACCAAAGTAGTATCAAAGATCGAAGAGCAAAGAAAGCGCATAGAGACAAGAAGCACACAAACCGACACCAACAACTAGACCCCAAGCATAGAAAGCACACAAAAGAAAGAGCAAAAATGCACCCACAAAAAACTACCACTAAGGCCCAAAAGTCTATCTAACAACTCTAGTCTTAGATCCCAAGATGAAAGGTCATCCCTCAGTAAGTTCCATAAGCCTTAAGTCCTATGTCTGTCTAATCACCTCATGCCAACTCTTCCTAGGTCTGCCTCTACCGCTACTCCTGCCTGCTACCATAATTATCCATTCCTGGTATTGGTCCAATTTCTTTTTCTGGGTGGGTAGTTGAAAATCCCACGGTGGTGGTGGACCAGTTACTTTGAACTTCTTTCTCACTAGAGAAGTTACTTTGCACCGGTGGTCCATGTGATCATCATCTATGCCATTACATTGCCATCTAATGCTTTTGATATCTTATTTGTGATTGTTAGATGCCAATAAAAACGTTGTGCTCTTAGGTTCTTATAGTAAGATCAGAAGAAAAACACAACACATTGGTAAATCACGTGGATGCAACTTATATAATAATTTTAATATTTTGCTTCGCAAAAATGAGTGCTATGATCTCTTAGATGGATGAAGAAATAACACTCTATACCCGGTATATACAAGATACTTCATTTGATTCATTTCTTAAATTGAATTTCAATGTTACAGGGTAATGACTGTCAGTTTCCACAAGTATGGAGATAAGTTCTTTCCTGGAACAGGTGATATGAAGGTACGGTTCCTGCTGAATTTTTCTGATTTCTTATTTGTGAATTTTCATTTTTATCTATTCTACAAAAATATTGATTTTTAGGAATACGTAATGATGCTCCATCTACTTAACAGTTTGCATGGATGTTTTTTGGGAACTT